CAGCGGTGGGCTCCCAATGCGGGGCGCCCTTGTTCCTGCCCCAGTGGCATCAATGGGTCAATAGCTCTCCGAGACATCTCCTGCAGGAGGACTGCGTGTGAGACGGGTGCGGTGGCGGCGAGGGGGCTGCGCGAGACGGAAAGCCGGCCGTAGCGCACACTGCTCACAGGCAACTCTCCCATAGGGCGACAGTGACCGGGAGCCAGTAATGAACCAGGACCTGAGAGAGCCCGGGACACAGCAAAACCCAATAGAAGCAAGCTGCTCCTCTCCCGCAGGCGGGCGTGGAGGGTTCTGGCATGGACACTGTGCCCAAGATGAATTGCTGCAGGGTTCTGAACCATGTCTTTGAATACAGGGTATGGGTCAGCAGGCAGCACAGCACGGGCCAGGGCTGACCGGGCACCCTCTGCAGACACCGTGCGGCCCCCCATGTGCATTCTCACAACTCGATTCCCAGGGTGCCGGGGGTAGGTGGTAGTGGGTCATGGGGGTGGAGGCTGGCGGTGGGAGTCGTGTCCCAGTAAGATGAGGCATGAACATCCTGTTTGCCTGTCTGCCACGTGAGGACACAGGTAAGGTGGACCGGATGCCAGATCTGCCAGCACCTCAACTGTGGACTTCCTGCCTTTAGAACTGTGAGCGTGGGGCTGGGGATATAGCTCAGTGGCATAAGCACCTGTCTGGCAAGCGCAAGGTCATGAGTTCAATCCCCGGTACCAAAAAAAAAAAAAAGAGAACTGTGAGTGTCAAGCTCTGTCATTCAAGCCCTATCCCTGGGACTCTGAAAGTGGCCTGAATGGATGAGCTGTCCCCCAGCCACTGGTGAGGGGCCGTGCCAGGCCCCCAGCTGGGAACTGTCGGCAGTGTGGCCCCAGTGCAGTCTCCAGGGGTCAGACGGGAGACAGGTGGCTCTGAAGGCTGCGTGTGCTCAGGGGCTGGAGACTTGGGAGAGGGGGAGACAGAGCTCAGCTGTCATGGGGTCTCCTGGGCCCAGTAACAGGGGCACAAGCAATCACATCCTTTACAGAGTGGCAAACACTGGGAATAATGGGTGGAGACGGAGCTGGAACGTAGCAGAGCGTGGCTGTGGGAGGGTGCAAGGCCTTCCTGGGGGAAGACAGGTGTCTACTGGGAGGGGTGGGCTTGGGGCAATTTATTAGGCAGCACAGGCAGGCGACTGACAGGTGCCTGGAGACATGTGGGCCAGATGGGACACCTGGGGCAGGGGCAGGGAAGAAGGGAGGCTGAGCCAGAGCTTGGGGCCAGTCCAGGTCACCTCCAGGTGCCGGGAGCTACCCAGTGTCCCTCCCTGGGGGACCCGCCTACAGAGCCCCAGTGCGGGTCTCCATGTCAGGCCCCTGGAGTGAGAGCACAGGTGCATCCATGAGTGTGGCCCTTGGTGCCGGGGCCATGCTTGCCAGAGATCCCCAGCCAGGTCAACTGTGGGAGCACAGCAACGTCGCTGTTACCCTCCCTGGGGGTTGCCGGCATAGGGCTGCAGGGTTCCACTGCAAAGGAGAACGGACAGGGCAGAGGGGCAGCAGCTGTGACAGCGGTGTGGCCAAGGCCCCGTGCACCCAGGCCCTCAGGGTGGCATACCACTCAGGTGGAACCAACCCTGGGCTGGGGCCAGTGCTCCTGCACAGAACCTGCAGCAGGAGGGTGGGGCAGGGGTGGGCACAGCGGCCCCTAGAACTATGACCTCGGGACTCCGGGTTGTGTGAGCCTGAAGCCACTGCTCTGGGCCTCTCGGGGGTGGGAGCCAACCTTTCATTTGAGGTTTGAGACAGTTTGTGTCGCTTTCCTGCCTATGTCAGGGTTCTTTCAGGGAAGCGAACCTCCTAGCAGTATTTTGAAATAAGACCTTTGTTGTAGGAATTGGACTTCATGTAGTCGCAGCCGCAGAGAAGCAGAAATCCAAAGGAGAAGCTGGGGGCTGCTGGGCAAGTCCCTGGCAGCCCTCGGGTGGGGGAAGCCGTGGAGCTTGCAGTGCTGACCAGACACGGTCAAGGTCTGACTGGAGAGGCAGGGCTAGCAGGGGAGTGTCCACCTTTTTGCAATGAGGGTGCCAGTGGGACGGGGTGCTTCTGGGGGGCAGGGAGGAGGAAGAGCTGGCTGCGGCGCAAGGAGGAGCCCCCTGGCCCGCGTCCCCTCGTCTCCAACTGCAAAGGCCCTGCTGTGAGGATGTTGCTGCCCTTCCGCCTTCTGAAGCTCACACAGCTTTTCTGTGGGTCAAGCCCACCCCAGAGCGGATGGGGAAGCTGCTGATTCCAGACAGATGGTACGGGCTGTCGGGGCTCCAGATGTAGTAGTCATTTCAGGGCTCCCATGATCCAGGAGTGCCATACTTCCTGAAGGGTGAGGTTCCCCGCTGCTCTAGGCTGACCTTCAGGGGCTCTGCATCCCCACAGCAGGCTTCTCTTCCCCAGCCTCTTTCCCTATGAGAAATCTCCAGGTACAGCCCTCTTGTAGGGTGCTTCATCCTGTGGGTAATATCAGTAAGCACGGGCCAGACCCAAGAGTGGGGAAGCAGCTGGTGGGCCTCCGTACCTCCCCCTGACATTCCTAACCCTCGACTCACACCACCCTCACTCTGGCAGCACCACCCTAGGTACAGAGGGGCGGGGCCGCCCGAGCCAAACCTGGAGTGGCAGGGCAGCAGCTCCAGAGCCCTCCCCCATCAGGTGGCTCGGGTGTGACACACAACATCCCATCACAGGTCTACTTGGTCCCACCAGCACAAGAGGGAGCTGGCTGGAGCCTGGAGCTGCTCACCCCATGCAGAACAGAGGCGGGTACTTCCACACCATGTCTCAGCTCCAGGGCAGCTTCAAGCTCCAGCCTGCGATTCAGGTACCAGCCCCCTGCCACGGCCCCCAGCTGGGAGGGCCAGCGCCCCCCGTGGGAGCTTACGCGGCCTGAGCCTGAGGAAGCCTACTGCTTGTCACTCTTGGAGGGATGGAGCTCAGGGTCTGCATCTTAGTCCCGAATGTCCTCTGCCTGCTGGGTGTGAAATACTTGGATGGCGCTGCTTGGAGGCCCTCTGTCCTCCCACTTCTTACACTAAGCCAACAACCCCCAACCACACCCCACCCCACCCCTGCGCACACACACAACTCCACCCTGAGCACATCACCTACCCCACTCCCCAGCCTCAGGCCATCCCATCGCCGGCAGGTTTCCTCCATGCAACCAACCGGCAGTACACCTGCAGGCCACCACCAACCCATGGTATTCAGTGGCCTTACACTTCCAAAATGAGAGCCATCTTCCGCCCTAATACCTGGTACCTGTCACAGGTATGGATTCTGTCACAGACTCAGCAGAAGCCAGGAAGCAGCTACTCAAGCCAGCGTCCCCTTGAGTGCTGAATGGGGCTACTGTACAGCTTGCAAGCTGGCCTGCTCCGGAAGCTCATTTTGTAGAGGCCACCTCCCTCAGCACTAACAAGACCAAAAACCTCCCACAGCACCCAAGGGTCCAGCAAAACACAAGAGAGGGGCAAAACTTAGAAAACAGCAGACTTTGTTACATTACCCTGAAAGTGCGTTTCTCCTTTTAGACATCTCTAGACTGTCTTATAACAAAAGTGGTGGGGCCCGGTAAGACGGCTCACGCCTGTAATCCCAGCACCCTGGAGGCTGAGGCAGGATTGCTGTGAGTTAGAGGCCAGCCTCAGCTACGAAGTGAGTTCAAGGCCAGCCTGAAGTGCATAGTGAAACCCTGTCTCAAAAAGACAAAAAAAAAAAAAAAAGAAGAAGAAGAAGAAAAAGTGGTAGGGCTGGGAGGAATAGGAGACCCCACAGCAAAATCCCACTGTGAGAAAGGTCAAGCTTCTCTCCACGCTGAAGCACAAGGCCTGTCATGCCATGGGTCTGGGGCTATCACTGTGATGGCTTGGTGCGGTGACCTCTGACTTCCGTTAGAGGAAACAACTGGGGGGGGGGATGAAGGTCATTATTGCGTATCGCAAGAATATACAAAATTATCCCGACACTTGTTACAAGGGGAAACTGTCCTAAGACTTTACTTTAAGACTTTACTTTACTTTAAGATTTGCGGGCCCAGGGGCAGTGGTCGGGGGTCCGCAGGTGGAAAATTACCGAGAGGAGAGGGGGGGTAAGGGGGACGCTTACTAAGCTGAGAACTCCCGGTGAAGGCGGGCGTGGTGATCCGATACCAAGCGCAGGGTATGAGGAAGGAGATCAGGTATGCAAGGCGGCCACACACCATGCGTGGGGATGACAGCCTGACTAAATTGCAGGCAACGCGCATCTCTGCGCTCTCCAATAGGCTTGGGGCCCCAAATGCTTGTCTTGATGTAACCTATGGCCCCTTTTTATTAATAGTAGTTCTTCTCGGTACTAGGGATTGAACCCAGGACCTGCGCAGAGCTCATCCCCAGCACCGCCCTCCTTTTAAAGTTTGGGATACGTCTCCCGAGGCGGCTAACTTGCCCGGGCTGAGTTCAGACTTGTGGTCCTCCTCCTCCCTCGGTCTCCCAGGGTGCTGGGATGACGGGTGGGCGCTACCACGCCAGGCTCAGGTCGCGATCTGGAACCTAAAAGGGCACCAAGGCTCTCGAGAACAAACCGGTTTATTTGGGACTCGCCGGGGCCCGAGATCCGGGGCACGCGGGCTACGACAGCTCACAGCGCAGGGGGCGGGTGAAGACCGGCGGCCCAGCAACCGTCACCGAAGTCCCCGGGCAGGGGCGAGGCGCGGAGACGCGCAGCTGGCGACGGCTCCTGAGGCCCGGGGCCAGGACGGATTTCGGATCGTCGCGGCCTCCTGGCACAGCCCTGGTCGGACCTCACAAGCTCAAGTCGCTGAGACCAGAGCCGCGAAGGTACCACGCTGCCACGCCAGCCGGCGCCCAGAGACAGTCATACACCGGCCCACCACGCCCCGCCGCCCGCCCGGAACAGCGAGGCGCGTCCGAACGCGTCATCACAAGCGCCCCGCGCGTGCGCAGCACCTACGCGCGGCCAGCGGGGAGGGCTGGAAGGGGGCGGGGCCACGCGCGCGGCGGAAGCCCAGGCGGCCTCATTGCGCCCGCGCGGCCCGGCCCACTCGCCAGACCGCCAATGGACTCGCGGAATCCGCCCCTAGCGACGCAGGCCCCGCCTCCTGGATACGCTCGGCGGCGGAGCTGCTGTCTGCGAAAACCAGGCGCTCGGGGGCCGAGGGTCGAGGTCTGGGCCTGGGGCCTGCGCGCGGCCGTCATGAAGCTGACGCGACAGATGGTCCTGTCCCGGGCCAAGGCCTCGGAGCTGCACAGCGTGCGGAAGCTCAACTGCTGGTGAGGCCCGGGCTTGCGGTGCCGCTTAGGGCTGCGAGGGCCGGCGACACCCCGCCAGCAGTGTGGCCCCACCCGGCCGCCGTCCACCGGCGGCCCCTGCGTGCGGTCGCACCTGCCTAGCCCGCAGCCTGGGCAGGGGTCGCGCTAACCCAGGTTATCAGGGGCGGCGGTCACGCCCCCTCCCAGGGGACGTGGGGCTCCGACCTCTGCCCTCTCCTGACGCAGCCAGATGTACCCTGCGGACGGCTGTGGGGTTTCGCTGGCCGCTCTGTGATCGTCTGGCATTTGAAATTGCCTCTAGTCTTTGGCATCAGGCCTGCCAATAAGACTGGGGTGCCAGGGCATCATCGCCGTTTCTGGCGGTCAGGAACTGAGTGTGTAGAGCACCCTGGCCTCTAGGTGCCCGAGGAGGGCTGTGCACAGGTGACCCTGTGTGGGGGTGACAGCAAGGGAGGGGTGCTGTGGCATCGATGCAGACTCAAAAGCGGGTGCTGGGTCTTGGGCCAGGGAAGACCGGAGCTGCCAGAGGAGGTGGCCTGCAGGTGAGGCCTGGCGGGGCCGCAGGTGTCGGGGCTCGGGGCACAGACCTCCGCCGCTCGGGAGCGAGCTGGAGGGCGTGAGCCCGGCCAGGCTCATTAAAAAGCTTTTCTGTCTGTGGGCACATCTGCTGCCTTGGCCGTAGTTTCCTTCTGCCCCGGGTCTAATAATGCCCTTCTTTGTTGGGTACGAATAGTTAGGGCTTTCTGTGTGCCCAGAGGAACAACAGCCCCATTTCAGGCCGCTGAACTTGGCTTCATAAGTTGCATGTTTAGTCTTTGAACTTGGCCCCCTGTGAAGACTCCCTTGTTTATGTCCGCGAGGGAAATGAACCTTCTGGTGTTTAGCCGGCAGAATTGAGTGTATCTTTTTGTGTCCTGCAAATGGAGCAACCTCTGCTCTTCCTTCCTCTGAAAAAATCCCTGAGCACCAGATGTAGAATTTTGTTGAAAGTCACCCCAACAGTTTTTGGGTTTTCCAGTTGTTTGGGCAAGCTTTCTTTTTTACTGTGGAATTGAAACCATACAATGTAAGGTTTGTAAGCATTTGTCATTAGTTCAGGGGATTGGTGGTGTTCTTTAGTCAACTCTAATGAGATTAAAGTGCAGATGTCTTTTCTCTCCTCAGGGGCAGCCGTCTCACAGATGTAAGTATTACCTTGATCATCTCCACGTGGCCCCTGCCCCCAAAGCTGTGTCCTCTTTTGCAAGAGGACTGTTGACACGGCCACTGGTTCTGCCCGTGTTGCCCGCCGGTCCTGCTCTGAGGAGGGCACAGAGTCAAGCTGTGCCCCGGGATGGAGTCTCAGGATGAGATGTCCTCGGAGCAGATACAGTGGTCATCAGACACCCTTCATGGCCTCCTGTTGGTCAGCACTGGCTTCAGACCCCCACCTTCCCCAGCCCCATGCAGTAGATGTGCTGAGCATGGGGGACCTGGACTCAGTAGTCTAGGAAGACCCAGACATACAGCGCCTGGCATGGGACCCAGGTACCACCTGCCCTGTTCTGTGGAACCAGTAGGGCAGATGTGGTCTAAGACTCAGTCTCAAGCCCGTCTCCCTTGGGCATGGCTCTTTGGGCCTCTGTTCCAGAATAGGGCCCTCTGAGGGCCCTGACCTGATGTCCCTGGGAGCCTCTGCACTGAAGAATGCTCCCTGCAGCTGGCAGCATCTATTCAGAGTGGGCATGGGCACCAGTGAGCCATGCTACCCACAGTGGGCAAGGTCTGGGCTGCGCTGCAGAGGACAGCATGAGCCTGGGCCCCGCATGCCAAGAGCTCTGGCCGAGCAGGGCCACACCCGTGTCCTGAAGTAGAGTTGGCCTGAGAGACGTGGCGTCAGGACACCATCAGTGCTGTGCTGTTAGCCAGCCACGTTCTTCCCTCCCTAGATCTCCATATGCCGGGAGATGCCCAGCCTGGAGGTCATCACGCTCAGGTACCTGCCTCCTGCTTCACTCTGGTCCCTGGGACATGGGAGCTGGGGGCCGCTTAGTCCCTGCTGTGGGACTGAGTGACAGGAGACAAACTGGAAGCTCCCCCTCACTGGCCCTACCCAGCCACAGCCTTGGCACTGCGGAAGTCACCTGTGTGCCTGCAGCCAGAGCTGGGGCCCTACTGATAAGCCGCGGCTTGGCCTGGCCAGCCCTCACTGCGGCCACATCTGTCCCCGGGAGTCCAGGTTCCCTCACTGTGGGAACTAGCCAGTTTCTGTACGACAGGACCTGTCACTGATCGGAGTGTTGGCAGTTGGGGAGCATTTGTGGGGAAGAGCTCCCCACACCCCCGAATTCCCTGCCTGGGGATGATGTTGAGGGTCCCTGCTGCCTGCCAGGTGTGGGGACGTGTTCTCCGGGTCAGCATGCCACTGGCGTCCCTTCCAGCATGTGCCCCACCCTGGAGTGGCCCTGCAGGAGGGAGCGCTTGGCGGGTGGAATGCTGGCCGCCTTGAGCTGAGGGCCTGTCAGTCCATCCGTCTGTCTGTCACAGGGTGGGGTGAACACCTGTATTTCTGTGGTTGCTCACGTACCTGGGGATTGAAACGAAGCCCTCGTCCTTTGTTCTTCCTGGTGTGGGGTTTTAAACGTGGAACACTTGGGTCTCTGTGGTGTTTTGCTGGGAGTTCTGGCCACGGCCTCCCATGAAAGGGTGAAGCGTCTGCCTGTGGGTGTCCACACAGCGTGAGGCAGAGGGGCTCATTCCTAGGCTGGGTGGTCTCTGACCTTGACCCGGTACGTGTGAGGATTGGGCCGGCGGCCGCAGGGCCCACCTCAGGGCCTGCCCTGCGAGTCGCGCGAGGCACTAACCGCGCCGTCCCGCAGCGTCAACAGCGTCTCAACCCTGGAACCCGTGAGCCGCTGCCGCCGCCTGAGCGAGCTGTACTTGAGGAGGAACCGCATCCCCAGCCTGGACGAGCTCTTCTACCTGAAGGGGCTGCCGCACCTCAGGGTGCTGTGGCTGGCTGAGAACCCATGCTGCGGCCCCAGCCCACACCTCTACCGCATGACGGTGCTGCGCAACCTGCCGCACCTGCAGAGGCTGGACAACCAGGGTGAGTGCAGGCGCGGCCTCCGCCCCGCGCCCCGCTCCTGCCGGCGCAGCGTCTCCCTGGCTGTGTGCTGTCGCCTCTTGGCAGCGCGTGACCCGGGGGTCAGCAGACCCTCAAGTCGCATCCTTCTCCCTTCATCCCTGCGGAGCAGCACTGCTCTGACCCTCCAACACATGCCACATGAGGACACACTTGTCTGGGGGCCAGGCCGCTCCCCGTGGTTCCCAGGGACCTATGGGTGCAGCTGCGCTGGTGGCGCCACACACCCGCACCATGCACGGTGCCCACATGCCCTCCTGTGAGGGTCGGGGGCTGTTCAGCCGCTCGCTTCCTGCCCAGAGGGGCCGCCAAGTTCCAGCCCCCCCACCTGAGTTCACGAGCAGTCCTGGGCCCGGCTCCCACACGCGTGGGGCAGGGCTGTGAGACTGGGACAGACCCGGTGAGCGTCGGAATCCAGGGCCACTGTGTGCGGCTGCGTGGGCTGAGCCCCTCATGCCGTGCCGCCTCTGCCCTTCCCCCAAGCGGTGACCGAGGAGGAGCTGACCCGCGCGCTGATGGAGGGGGACGAGATCACCGCCGCCCCGGACAGGGAGGGCCCAGGCCAGGGCCGTGGAGAGCTGCCCGACACACTGAGCTCCATCGGCTCCGCTGCTGAGACCGACCGGGGCACGCTGAGCTGCGTGGACGAGGAGGCAGAGTGAGGCTGGGAGCCGTGCCCGAGCTGGGGCCCCAGAGACAGGGCTTCTGGCACCCGCTGCGGGCCGCGAGGAGGGCGGTCCCGGTGCTGCTCCCCCTCCCGCCCGCGGGAGTGACGGTGGGTGCAGGAGGTGCTCCTCGGTGCGGCTGTGGCCCCGCCCAGAGCACCTGTTGCCGCCCTCCGTGCATTTGCGCAGAAGAACAGTGGGAAGAGCGCGGGGTTCAGAGCAGCCCAGGCTGAGCGTCCCCTGCTCCCGGTGGTGGGGGCATTGGGTGCTGCAGCTGCAGGCTGGCACTAGTACGCGGGTATGTTAGGGGTCCACTCTGAGGCCTGGGACGAAGGGATCACAGTCGGGAGACAGGGCACAGGGAGGCCGCCCCAGAGGGTCAAAGCAGGAGTGAGCGCTCGGCCCCCGTGCGTGAGCCCCGTGCCATGTGGACGTCCCACGGTGGGCCCGGCCCGTAGACCTCACACACCGCATGGTGTCCCTCTCACCAGCTGCGTCCAGGGCCACCTCGGCTTGAAGAACCCTTCCGGAGACCGGTTTCCTTCCTTCTCACAGAGGGACACCATGAGCAGTCACCAGAACAGGGTGAGTGACACAGGCCGCCAGGTCACCACTGCCTCTGCCCGGCGCTCGGACACTGTGGGTGTGGCACAGCCACGTCCCCCAGGCGCCCCGCGGCTGGGAGTGCCGGCCCATGGAAGGCGCCTGCTGCAGTGCCTGGCTTCAGTGCCGCCTCCAGGGTCCTCAGCGCCAGTAGCTTCCAGAACACCTTGAGTGGCCACATGACTGGCTTAAAGTTGGCAGAGGCTGCCGCTGGGAGACAGACTGCCCCCTGCAGTTGGATCCAGGGTGGCTGGGTACACAGTGGCGGCACCAGGGAACAGAGCCAGGGTCCCAGATTAGTGGCTGGAGAAGGTTGAGTAGGCAGCTCAGTGAGCACCCAGGACCCCCGCCTGCCACCCATGGCATCTGGCTGTCCTGCAGCTCCTCCCCCCCAGCCCCAGGAAGACACGCTGTTTCTCCCAAGGGTGTCCTGGGTGACCTCTGCGGCCATGAGCTCGGCTGGGAGCAGACCTCACTACTGACTCCAGGGCGTGCGGGAAATGGCGCTGCCCGAGCAGAGGACCCTGCGCAGGAGCCCCATGGCCCCGGCGCCTCCTGCCTGTGCGTGTGTCAGCCCCTGGCAGAGCCCTTGGAGCTCAGCCTATGAGGCACAGTCCCTTGCTTCCAGGGCGGGGCCCCTCGTCCTTTCGGTGACCCTTAGCATTGAGCATCTGCAGGAGGGGCAGGGAACCACAGCCTGTGCCCCATCTTGCAGAGCGTGCCTCTATCTGGGGGCTGCCCCGCCTGGGGGAGGAGCCCCCAGTGGTGGATGCATATGGTCACACACAGGCCCACGTAGTCAGTGGGGTGGCACGGCCTGTGGCCTGTTTGGATGGAGGAGTGGAAAGAGAGGGACCGCAGGTCACCTCCCTCAGGCCCAGGGTACAACTGCAGAAGCAGGTGTGCCCCCTGCAGGCCCCCTCCCCTGCTGGGCCCTCGCAGCTCCTGGGGAGAGTGGAGCCCACAAAGCACAGCAGGCACTGCAAGGACACGGGTGGCCTCGGAGCCCCAAGGGTGTGGGTGTTGCAGGGGCTGGGCCGGAGCATGCGGTCACCTCCCAGTGCTTTCCCCCCCGGCGAGCCACGGGGCGGCTGGTCCTTCCCCAGCACTCCACGCAGCCCCCACGTGTGAACTGTGTCTAAGTTGTCCGTGTGGCCCCTCGTCTTCCTGGCACAGACGGCCTCCGCGCCCTCCTGTGGACGCAGGCAGAGCCATGTGGGTGCACCACCCTGCGCAGTCTGGGGCCCTCGGCCTGTGTGCCTCGGTTTCCCTGCCTGAAGTGGGGTCAAGACAAGGCGGTGCTGCCAGGTTTCACCATGACCCTCATTCTGGTCATCCCTCCCGTCCCCAGAATGTGCTGACGGCCGTGCTGCTGCTGCTGCAGGAGCTGGACACGGAGGGGCTGGAGGCCGTGCAGCAAGCCGTGGGCAGCCAGCTGCAGGCACTGCACAGGCGGGAGCTGCAGGAGGACACAGAGTGACCCGGGCCCAGGGCACCCTGCCACTGGATCCTGCCTGTCCCACGGAGCTGGGTCCGCACCAGACAAGGGCAGGGCAGGCATCACATGCCAGCAGGCAGACTTGGCTCCCGTGCCAGGGCTGGTAGAGATGCCCACCCATCCCAGGACCATCCCCAGACTATATTGCGGAGGTCATGGGGGTCTAGGCTTCGCCTGCTGCCCTCCCCATAAAGACTTCCTGGTGACCGGAAGCACACGGCGTGGTGGCAGGTGCAGCCTCGTCATGCTCTTCGGGTTGGTGCCACTTCGCAGCTTCTGAGGAGCAATTCTGCCATTTGGTCCTTGGTGGTCAGGGAGCTCTGTCATCAGGGGGCCCTCCAGAGCGACAGCGACCCTCCTGTCGCCGCAGCTGGCACCATGGCCACATCCAGGAAGGACGGTGTCTTCTCAGCAGGCCCGGGCAGGATTCCCTTCTTTAAGGGATGCTGCAGCAGTCGGGAGGGCGAGCTGAGCCTGCGTGAGGCCCGTGGGCACCCTTGCCTGCCAGCCTGGGGACAGGTGCATCCACGGGTGGGGGCGGTCTTGCCAGGATGCTAGTGCTGCAGCCCGGGGGCATCCTGGGGCCCCAGGGAGTGACCTCCTGCCAGTGGACAGTGCTGACCCGAGAGGACGTGCACGTCCTTCTGCCGTCTCCTCTTGGGGTCAGGGCCGTCTCTGAGGCATCCACGTCCATGCTGCTGAGAGCACGTCTGGTCACAGGACAGCTGCACAGGCCAGTGAGCCTGCCACGGTGACAGCATCTGGAAGGCACCCTGCCTGAAGGCCAGGGACATGCAGATGGTCACTCTGGTGCCTGGTGACAAGGCTGTGCCCTGATGGCAGCTGTTTCAGGCTCGGCGGAGGGCTCTGCACTGGACTTGGGTACAACTAGGGCCGGGGGTGGTGGTGGTCTGGCCAGGTTCCCTTGCACGTTCTTCAGGACCGGTGTGACCTCAGGGTGGGAAGCAAGGGGCCGCAGTGCGGGACATCTCGGGTGGACGGTCCCAGGCCTATGTCTGCCTCCTCGGTCACTCGGGTGAATAAAGTGCTGTCTACTGGGCAGGTGGGGTGATTGATTGTAACTCCAGAGTGTCTGATCCCCAGGTGTGAGCTCCTCTCCCTCTGGTCGCACGCCTCCGCTGGGGCTGCACCCAGGACAGACTTGCCAGCTGCTTCCCTGGGCCCGCCCTGAACTCCCCATGCGACCTGAGGTGGGCACTCGGGCGCAGCAGCCACTGGCATCCATGGCGCGGGTGTCCTTAGCCCAGGTCGCTGGCCAGAGGACTGGGGCCGGGCCCCCTCACTAACTAGAAAAAGCGCACGCCAGACACAGTGCAGCCAGACGGTCGGACCTAGGCCGCCTCAGCCTGGAGCTGCTCCTGGGGAGATGATGGTGCCCTGCATCTCAGGCATTGCCCGGGACACCCGCGGTCCTGAGTTCAGCAGCTGTTGTGCCACAGGCAGTTGAGAAGCTGAGCTGGCAGCACAAGCCCGGGGCTCCGCCCCAGAACGTGATCCCAGCGCTGATGCGCGGCTCACACTGGCAGGGCCAGGCCAAAGGGGGAGGGTCAGGGTTACGATCTGCAGAGTGACATCCGTCTCCCACCTCTGGGGCCTCCCTGGCCTTCGGTGCCCCTGCAGAGCCCAGGTCTGCCGGTGGAAGCCCTTGCACGTGGGCAGATGTTCCTGGGCTCAGGGTGAGCCTGGCCAGCACTGCTGTGTCCCACAGTGGGCGATTTTCAAGGAGCAGGAGGCAGCAGGACTTCTCCAGGTTGTGAGCTGTGTCCTGCCTGAGGGAGCCCTGGAGGGATGGGGAGGCCTGGCCCTCTGCTCACTCTCTGAAGGTGGCCTCCATGGGCACACTCGTGGCGGCTCTGGGACACTCACACAGGTGTCCCCAGCAGGGAAACTAAGAGAAGGGCAAGGGGCCTTGCTGCCATGGACTGAAGAGACGTGCACTGTCCAAGGTGCTGGGAAGGGATCCGGCTCCAGGACCCTCTCCAGAGCCGCTGGGGACCGAGGCTCCAAGGGCTCCAGCCAGGCAGCAGCCGCTGGGCGTGTGGAGCTGCTGAACGCCTTGTCCAGCTAGAGAGGAGGCACAGAGCGGCCCGAGGGGTGGTCATCGTGGCCTGTGCTGTGGGGCCTCTGGCCTGCACATGCCTCCCTTCCAGTGTCACCATCCTAATACTCGCTACCTGCCAGAGGGGGTCACCCCATGTTCATCTTGCCTGGTCCCCCAGAATCCTACGCCAGGCCGTCTCAGGTGTCCCTGCACAGTCCCTCCGTACCCATCGGGTGGTCCCCCGGCTGCCTTCTCCTTCTCACTGTGGGAGTTGGCCCTCTGCACCCGGCAGCAGCTGCAGAGCAGCAGAGGCTGCCCCCTCACGGGACAGAGCAGGGCCGGGTGAGGAGCAGACCTGTGATGGCACCCATGCCAGTGCTGTGCAGAACTGTGACGCGGCCGCGGGCGGTTTTCTGCTGCACCCCAGGCCCCTCGGTGGGTGTGCTGGCAGGCATGGAGTCCAGCCGGAGTCACCATCTTCAGTGAGAGAACGTCCCCTGATCACCGTCACCACGCTAGCCCAAGTGACTCCCACGTCTCACACACTGGGCCCCTGGGAGACTGGGAGGGAGGTCAGGCCTCTCCAGTCGCCTAACGTGTCACAGCCCACCTCGGGGCGGCAGGTGATGGTGACTCCAGGGATGCTCTGCGGCGTGGCCCTGCTGCTCCCGGCTGATGCACAGTTCGAGGACAGACACTGTGGCGAACCTGCTGCACTTGCTGCGCTATGGCAGAAGCTTCTCAGTTCTGTGACTGACCTGAGGTTTGCAGGGGGCTCCCGAGTTCCAAAAGCTTCTGAAAATGTCAGCGTGTCCACGTCTGATGGCTGGGCCTCAAACGGTACAAGGTGGATTCGGCAGAGCTTGAGTCTGCCCTGGCTGCCTGCCCACAAGTGTGCGGCCCATGGGGTGGGGGGGGGGGGGCTCCCTGCACACCCAAGGAGGGAATGGCTCCAGGGAGCTGCCAGGAAGCCAACCAAGCCCTGGCTTGTCCTCAGCTGAGTGGGGCCAGCCTCGCCACATCTTGGTTGTAAACGATGGGAAGCAGCAGCAGCTGGTGTGAGCTCACCCCGGACTCTCCGCATCAGCCTGGCCTCCCCGACACCTGGCTGTGCAGGGTGGAGTGCAGACGGGCTGCACTCTGCAGGCTGGGGGGGTAGGCACTGTGGTTCTGGGGCTTCTGGCCCAGTGTGTGGACAAGAGGCTCCACAGCAGGGGGTGGCTGCCGCCCCCATGTCCCAGCCACACCTGACCAGCCAGGTGTCCAAGGTTTGGGCACCACCCAGTACCCCATGAGTGCCCACTTGGGTCTTTAGTGGGCTCAGCATGGGCTGGGCAACTGTTCCCACCCACGTGCAGGACAGACCAGAGGCCCCAGGCCCTCGGGCCCCCACTGTAAGGGCCCCAGCTTGGCCTGCAGGCCCCCTGAAGCCGACACCGCGACCAGAGCCCCACGCAATGCTAAGGGTGGGGAGCAGCACCTTAAGGGGGGTGGTCTACCACCACAGGAGACTGAGATGTAGGGCACAGAGAGCAAAGCGTGTCCTGGGCACAGTTTAAAGGGACCCCGATGCTGGCCTGACGCAGTGGGGTGGGGCCGCTGCCTCCCAGAGCTTCCCAGCGGACGAGAGATCAGCCCTGCCAGCTTCCCTCACTGTCCCTGCTCGCCCGTGGCGCCCACCTGGCTGCAGCTCGCTCAGAGCGACAGGGAGCACGGCACAGGCCGAGTCCCACAGGCAGACGGGCATGGGGGGCACCGCAGGCTAAGGAGCCCTCCTAGGTCAGGCGAGGCTGCAGCGCGTCCGCCCGGGCAGGCTGGGAGGGGCTCGGTCACACTGGTAGCCCCGGGGAGTGACTGCAGGGGTGGCCCGCAGCCCCAGAGCCCGGCTCCGTCCTCGCGGCCCCCCACACCGGTCCTCCGCTGTGCGTCTAGAGGCAGGCTGGACTCCAGTCAGGCAACTTTATTTCTAGAGACGGTGGCAGTGCTGCTTGCCGCGGTGGCCCTTAGGTAGGAGGTCAGTGCGGCACGTGGGGACACAGGTCCCAGGGGTCCGGGGCCCCGAGGCGGGGCCCAGCGTGACTGTACCCGGCGTGGTGGGAAGGTGGTCCTGGTGCTGGTCCTGGGGCAGGCAGGGCGGGGACGGGGCGTGGCAGGGCCAACCCCGCCCACCAGGGGCCGTGGGAGCCCCGCTCGATGCTGGAGGGGCAGGCAGCGCCTCAGAAGCCCGTGTCAATGCTGAGTGTGCGGCGCGTGACGTGCTCCAGCTCCCCAGACACGTAGTCGGCCATGCTGATGCGGTAGTGCGCCAGCATCTTCAGCATCAGCCGCAGGTTCAGCCACCACTGCTCGCGGGGCATGCGGTGCCTGTGGGGGGGGG